ACCCGCATCATCTTTATGTGGAAGTGTGTGTGACAAACTTGGAGCACCTTTCCTTGGCCTCGAAAAGTGCCATCATGGATAAAAAAGAAAATCCTTAAAAACAGAATCCTAAAATCAAGAAGCTCGGCAGGAAAACCCAAAAAGGGGGCTGCGCAAAAATAAGAGCAAAGAACCCGCTAGGAATCCCACAAAAGGGTGACCTAGGCAAAAATTAGGGTTGTAAAAAATAAACAAAAATAAAGGTCCGCTGAGACACCACAAAGAGGTGTTTTAGGCAAAAATAAGGACAATTAAAAAGCAAAAGAAATCCATGATGGTACCATGAGCCGAATTCAAAAAGAAAGGTTCAAGGGAAGCTATCCAAGTTGTCAAATCACAACATCAATAACAAGACTTTCTTAACTTCATAAGTGTTTAATCAAACAAGCCTAAACACTTGAGCCTACCTTGGCCAGCCATTCTTACAAACACCGCTTTTAAATAATAATAATCCCCTCTAAAACACAAACCTTTGAACAAAAATATATCTTTCCTTTCTTTTCTCTCTTGTCCCAAACGATTTTAGAATAATCTAGTGGAAACATGGAGATATAGTGGTCAATAGGAGGGTTGACACGTCTTCTAAAGGAAGGGAAGTATCACTGGGTTGATGACACCCATCTCGATACAACACGCATCATTCCTCGGTTATAGAAATCGGCAGCGCACAGCCCGTCTAGAGGAATGACATCTAAACAAAGAAACGCATCGGTTAATTCTTTTGAAAAATAAATCAAATAGAATTACCCCCCCCCCTCTTGGATTGTGCCATTCTTTTCTAACATATGGTTCATCGCAGAAGTAACACAGTCCTTTTGATCTCCTATCAGCCATGTAGGTTGGAGTCAGATTTCTGTAAGGCTTTGCTTTATTCGAGGTGAATTCTGGCTGATTATACTTGACTTGGTCTATTGGTGTGGGCAATAATGGTCTTGAATTCATAACGTTCTTGTTGTTTCTTAAATTCAAAGCGAAGGGTTTTGAGGCAATTGCCACCAGTCCCTGGGGTTGGGAAGCCTCATACATCTTTGCCAATGAGAATGCTCTCCGAACACTGTCAGGTCTAAACATGCGTACCATCATTTGGATTTTGTGTTTGATTCCTCCCAAGAAGCAACTTAGCCGGTACTCCTCTGTTAAGTCTAATATGGAAATTATTGCATCGAAGGTGATGGCATCCTTGCTAGCATTGATGGATTGGTTTATCAATGTGAGGACACCTTGACTCCTTGGATCAAGTTCTTCAAAGGTGGCGTTTTGTTTAGAGAAGGAATATGGTGGAATGGATAAAAATGGAGAGTGTGGATGAAGTGTTTGATGAAAGGTTTGAGAGGGCACTCTAGGGTTTGGCTGATGATGAAGGCCACTTCTAGGGTTGTTTCTCTCAAGGTGGAGATGGGAGGGAGGTGGCCGAATTAGCCAAGGGTGACTAAGGAAAGATATAAAGGCACAAAAGGCTCTCTTTATATTCAATATCCAAAGTATTTACAAGGTGTGGTGCCTAGGGTATTTATAGGAGTGGGAGGCATCTAGGGTTGCATTTAGGGTGCCAAATGCACACCAAATGAAACCCAAATTAACCCTAGATGCAACTTGGTGGCCAAGGATGGAATCTTTGGGTTTAGTTAGGCTACATCTAGGTGCATGATAAGACCATGCAACCTTTGCCCTCCACTTGGGTCTAAGCCTTTCTAAGTCCAAAAATAGGTCCAAACACCACCAAAAATGTGTCTAGCTCCCTAATTAAATACCTTAGCCCAAAATTAAAAACATATGATCTAAAACACCCCATAATACAAGGGTAAAATCGGAAATACAAAAGAAAATAAATCTTATGACTAAGATACCCCAAAATACAAGGGTAAAATAAGAAATTAAAGACAAGGGCAAAAATAGGAATAAAAATAAATGCTATAAAAACTTAGGAGCTAAGGCCCAAAAGTAGGCTTACTCCTCCTATGGTTTTTTCAACACTAACCCATTCCTCTTGGTTCCTTCAAGATATCACCTCTTGGTCTTCTTGGCCTTAGTGTTATTCCATCAGAATGCCTCATGATATTCGCTGACCCCTTTCTCCTGTCTTAACTTCATAAGTTCTGCCATGGATCATCGCAGACATCTCCAAATCAGTCCTACAACATCTTCGTATACTCCTCCCAAGACGGTTGTTGATTTGCCAAATTCTTGGAAATTGCCGTGTGCCACTGTAAAGCTCTTCCTTCAAGGTGCACAATTGCTAACCGGACCTTTACATCCTCAGGTGTGGCATCAATCAAGAAATAATTTTCGCATTGGTACATCCATTGATTGATGTTTTCACCATTGAACCTCGAAAAATCAATTCTTGCAAGTCGTGTCCCACAAGAATATTGATTTGAGCTTCTGGTACCATTAGAATTTTTGCTAACGGAAGGTGAGTGACTTCCTGAAGCAAATCGGGTCTTGAATAGGTCTTCCATCTTCTGTGATAATGCTTCAGATAAGGAATCTTGAATCGTGCCTGCAAGTGGCATTATCTGTTTATCAATATGTGCTGACAGCTTGGTCTCCAATCGTTCTTCCATGCCTGCCATGCTGTGTTGGTTACGGGTTGCGGCCATGAATCGTTTAGACTGATACCAATGTTATGACCAGAACTAGGAATTCAATAAGAATTTGAAGGACTAATAGAAAATAGGGACTCTATGTGAAGAAAAGAATATGAATGTTATATTTGAAGAAGAAAGATGAGAATACCAATTTGTGAATGAATTATTGTATCCCTAAGGCAGGATTAAAATGCATTATATAGCCAACTGACTATAACCAATCCTCCCCACTACTCTATCTTATCTCTAATATATTTAAAATTACTAACTACTCTATCTTATCTCTAATTTTGTAGATAAAACATATTAAAAATTACTAATAAGGACTTGATTCTGTTTACATCATATCAACCACCTTCTGGGTTTGACAACTCTATTATGACACACCTCTGCCCCCATAACTCCTCCCACTTGCATGATTGTCTCCTTTCCCAACACTCATGTCTCTTAATGGGCAACATTGCTACTCCAATTTTGTGATCCTAGAAGAAGAAAGGGAATGTTTGGGTTATAAAAAATCATTCATATACTAACACTTGATGTAAAGACTCATATATTGCTTCTATTATGCGAGACATGATGTAAAAAATTAGAAAAGGTATTTCTACATTAGTTAAACTAACACCCAATGTGAAGAATCATATACTACATATGTTATGAGGGACCCATTTTAGTATAGTTGACTTAAATTGCAAAATGCCACCACCTCCTCTATTGCACTGAGTCTCTCATTATTGATGTTAAAGTCCTATGTTGTATCCCATATTTGCACTTGTAGTACTAGTAGTTCAGAGTCAAAAGTTTTGTGAACAAATTCAAACTGATTAAAAATCACAAGGCTAATTTAGTTGTCAAATTTGATAACTCTCTAGTTAAAATCTCAATAAAAGATATTTGAATTAAAGCTTTAATGTATCTCGTAATCTCAAGTTTGGAAATAATTCATTGTTGATTTTCCAAAAAAAAAAAATCTACAACCAATTCTTTCATTCTAAATTCCATATAAAAAATATTTATATTATAATCAAAAGTGGAAAATCATTCTTACGATATTCAACTTAAAAATTGAAACAAAGATTTACCGTATGATATACCTCTATATATAACTATGTTTGTCTATATAGGATATATACAATTAAGTTTTAATGAGATATACCCATGATAGGTATACTATTAAATTTAATATTTACACTTTTCCACTTCACATGAACACCACTTATATATGTAGGGTTCATGTGCCTTTATAAAGAGAGCAATCGTGTCAGCGTGAATTTAACCTTAATATATCGCGTGATAATCATCTCTTAAGAACTCCCTAAGTATGTCATGTTGGGTTAAGAGAAAATGGGTAAGAAATAGAGTAAAAATAATAAAAATAGGAGAATTCAAATAAGTAAGGTTGATTGGTTAAAAAAAAATAAGATGAGAAATTAAAGAGTGGTGGATCCTACTCTCTTATTTATTTATATTTATTTATTTATCTTTCCTCTTTTTTATATATATTTTATCTCTTATATATTTCTCACATATTTCTCTTCAACCAAACAATCAAATTTTATTATATTTTTTAATATATTTTTACTTATTTTTTTTATCCTTTTTATTTTATTTTTCACCTATTTTTTTTTTAATAAATACATACTAATGCGTTGTTTGATAGAAGAAAAATAAATAAAAAATAAAATGAAGAGTAGAAATAAAAGAATAAAAATAAATGAAATTATTTAATTAAAAACAATGAAATTAAAAAATTAAAAAATAATAACCCCACTTTCTTATTTATTTATTTTTTCCACTCTCTTTTTATTTTATTATATATATATATATTATTTATCACTTATTTCTTTTCATCCAAATAACTAAATTTTTACTTTACTTATTATCTGTTTGTATTCACTTTTATTTTTATTCTATCTATTTCTAGTCTATTTATTTCCTTAATACCCAACAACACACACTAAATTAAACAATGTGTTGGGTTTCTGCTCCAAATAAAACGTGATTCTGTTCATGGTCGTTTCTGGGCACTCAGTTACTCTCTCTCTTCTTCTAGTGTGGTCGTTTTGTTAGGGCACAGAATCCCTTTTCGGATCGGTGGAGCAAAGTCCTGCCGGCGAGATTCCCGACTTTCTTCAATCGGCGATCGAGCACCGGCGAAGATGAAGGTTTTTGTGAAGACTCTAAAGGGAACGCACTTTGAAATTGAAGTGAACCCCTCAGACACGGTTCGCCCCTACAAATCTCCTTCTTCAATTCAATTTCGATCTTAACTTGTTGTCTTTGGTTTCCCCGCATCGTGGGTTCCGCGCTTCGATTGGGCGAGCAGAATCCCTGAAATTTGAGAGTTAACTAGGGTTTTAGCTTCCTTGTTGTTCAGCTTTTATTGAATTTGAGTGATGTCAATTTATAGTTGCCCGATTAATTTTTGAATTTTGATAATTGACTCTGAAATTTAGGTTATGAATTGATTGCTTTGTGTGTTTGCCTGATTTTTTTTTTTTTTTTTTTGTGGTATTAATATGGGGTTGTGGCTGGTAACATTAACTGGTTACTTAGTTGTTTTGTAATTTTTGTTGAGTCACTTAGTTGTGTATTAGGGTAGACTGTAAGACCAATTGCGGCTAAGTGCTTGCATGTTTGAAGCATGATGAATAATAGGTTTGACTTTGATATTGCTCGAAACTTTTCTTCTTGGGAATTTCAAACTGGTTTGTGCAAGGGTGAAAAATCTGAATTTGAGCTGGTTTTTGATTACTATTGGAGCTCATGGCCATGTGAACCATTATAGTTGTATATGACTGACTTTGTATTTAATGATACATTATACACTTGAATCAATAATTAATTGAACTATGAATTGGAGGATTTAACATTGTTTAGGACTTTGAGGGAGATTGTTAAGCCATCCTGTATGACTGGAGCAAAGGTTGTGCTTCAGAGGAAACTTATGGAGTTATAACTGTTGATTAAGACATATGGTTAAAGATTGTTATAAAATGTATAACGAACGATGAAATTGTTAACATCGACTACCTCGAGTTTTTAAACAGCACTTGTAACTTTTTTGTTCTCGCTCTAAAGCACACCCATCACTTTAGAGTTATATATGAATTAGGGATGTTTGAGAGTGTGCTAATTCATCTTTTAATTACGTGCTTCATAGTTCTCTCTCTTTATGTTTCTACCACATTCTGTTCTTTCTGAATTACAATAATTAGTCTCTAATATTGATTAATTTTGGATATTATTTACAGCTGTCTGAAGTGAAGAAAAATATAGAAACTGTTCAGGGTGCAGACGTCTATCCTGCTGTGCAGCAAATGCTTATTCATCAAGGAAAAGTTCTAAAGGATGGTACTACTTTGGAGGAAAATAAAGTAGCTGAAAATAGTTTTATTGTAATTATGCTATCGAAGGTAAAAATTCTTATTTATTTTCCTATTTTGAAAACTACATTGTTCTTTGTACTACCAAAATATATTCATTTATTTGGTTGCATACATAATTGTTTTATACTTTAAAACCTACATGTGTATTACGTATTATTATACGCTTAGATCGTGTTTAGGTCTATTAGTTGGTGTATTGAATCTGACATGCCTGTCAATACTGGCGGTATAGCAGAGTATAGAGTTTAGTGGCCCTTAGCTAACGAGTTGCAAATAAGGGAGCACTTTTCAGTGTAGTGGTCATTGTGGATTAGTAGGAAAAATAGTCTTGTGTGATATTGGTGCGACCATGATATAGGCTTCAAGACACCCTTTTTACCCTTGAAGAAGCAACATTGTATAGGCATTTTGTTTGGGTGAAACTGTGATTTCTCCCATTATCTAGTGGCTTTTTTTTTTTTTTTTTTTGCTTTTAAAACATAATAATAGGATTTGGAGCTCTTTTTCGATGACCATTCCACAAAAAAGTTACCTCTGTTTTGACCTTTGATTATACTATACAAGACTACTTCTTTTCCTGTATTTCCGTTCTTCCTTCTTACTTTAGACTTCCCAGTTTACATTCTGCTAGTTTTTTTCTAATTTATTGTGCTTTTTTTCTATTAATTTCACCATCATCTTTCAATTTGTCCTTATCATTATGTTCTTTCAATTTCAATTTTGTTTACAATCGTAACAAGGCACATTCATGCATGACCCATCTTAGGACAGGGGTGTGGGATTGTAAGGTTGAGTAATCTAACCAGGGATCCTGACACCATTGTAAGTCGTAAAAGAGTTAATGATCATGATAATGTGTGGTCTTGCTGTGTTTACATGGTGAGACTGAGCATTCAATGTTAATGCCTTTTGAGGTTTAACTACTAGTATTTTTTTTTAATTAAATTCCATGTATAAGCCATTGTAAGCAAATTCTGATCTATGCTATCTAAATGACTAAATATAAACCAATGTTTTAGTTCAGTATTGTTGATAAGCCTTCATCTTCCACAATTTGATTCCTTTAACTTCGTTGCTATTGTAAAATCCTTTTTAAACTTGTTAAGAAAATGCACATTTTCCAACAAACCTTCCATTTCTCCTATTCCAACTTGACACACCATCTCTGTGACCTATCAGCTTTTTTATTTTTTATTTATATTTAAAGAATGAAAGATAATAAGAGAATGGGGACGAGAACTTCATCTTATAGTTGCTGAAGGAAACTAATTAGTTCCAACTCATAAAAGTTGTTAAATGCCTCTACTTACAATTATGAGAACTCCTGTTCAACTTAGTTTGACAATGGGATTGCTCATTTATGTCCATAGCAGTCATTTGCATGCTATAGCGGTGTTGCAGCTATTGGTCTAGGAGATTGACAATCGTCAGTTAATATTGCTTTTGGAGTTATTTTAATTGCGGCTGCTATTGCATTAAAAATGAAGGACTCTCTCTTTCCCCTCAAACAATGTTTGCTGTTGTTTAAACTTTAAAGGAGGAAATATTGAGATTTCGACCCCCTTTATTTCATGAACAAGCCCTGTTTTCCAATCTCATAATTATTCCTTTTGAAGACCAAAATACTGCTCTCCCTCATTGGTCTTTTTTCTCTTTGATGCAAACCTTCAGACCCAGATCTCTGATCAGCATATTTGACCTACCCACATGTTGGCTAACTCTGGCATACTGTTTTGTGGCCTCTACTCTTTCACATCTTTTGGGATTTGCTTTGTTCACTTCAAGATAGGATCAATAAATATCGAGTGTCAAATATTAATACTTACACCTCTTAATAACTTTTTGAAGAATATGAAATTAATTAATCAAACTGTTGAAATGAATGCTTTTATAAAGTAAATTAAGGTTAAATGATTTCATGCAGATACTTTATTGCAATACATTATGTTGATAGATAATAATAATTATTTAAATAAGCAAAATGTCTATTGCTAGATAACAAATCAACAAATATCCAAATTAAGTGAAATTTCATATACAATATTATAAATATAATGTCAAATGATTCAATTCAAGAGTTAGATGGATTAATTTCATATTTTATAAAAGGTTGTGGTGTGCAAAAGGTTGATACGTAGTGTCAATTGATCCTGTCATATATGTATGCCTTTTTGTGATTTTTCGTTCTTAATTTCATTATTGCCTAAGTAACTTTATCTTGACATTTCTTACTGTACTTTTTTCTTTTATTTTACTTGATTGAAACTTTTATCAACTTCTGTGTTTGGCTTGAAATTGTTTCTTTTAATTATTAATTATGATTATGTATTTAATAATGGATAACATTTTTTTGGGCATTTATATATATATATATATATATATATTTAATTTATATCGATATATTTAATGATAGTGGTCATTTTGCTATCCATTATACCACTAGTGGTTTTTTTGGGGTCGGCTGCCCCTCACCATTATCCATGATTGATAGCTATGTTAATATTTTGACTTGTTAAATACATTGACTCTTGGTCATTTGCATGTTTATTTCTGTATGACGATTATCTTCTCATTGTAAGTGATTAGAGCTTGAAGGATCACTTGCACTCTTTAAATCAACGAGAAATTAATGTTATTTTGGTAAATTCTCGATGTTTCATATTCATTTATTGAATACTAAATTATATTCTACGTGCTCCAAATATGCTAGGCTAAGAGCTCATCCGGTGAAGGATCCACTGCTTCAACTGCACTTTCAGCTAAGGTGAGACAATATACTATGATGTTTTGAACATTATTGTTTATGTTACTTCTATTAGGCTATTTTCGTTTTTGGTGCTCTTCCACTACTTGATTGGAATATTTTATTTTGATATTTTACATGACATATAATAGAGTGAGTATTCATGGAATATGATTCACTTGAAAGATACATTAGTGGCGGAATTGTAGACTCAAAACATCATGCTGAAGAGGGTGGTGATTAATGCATATAAAATGATTCAGTCGAAAATCATTGACTACATTAATTTCAATTGGTGTGTCTAAACCAAACAAGTTATAAATGCTAGTATAGTTCTAATAAGTTTACCCATGATTATGACAACCATGTTCTAATGACTTTTTCTTCAAGTTTTGTCGGAGGGTAGTGTGTTTAAAACTGAAGAGGCATTAAACTTTTCTTCTTTTTTGTTTATAATCTTTTTACTGCATCATTCATCTGTTCTAGTAATTTACTACACTTCATAGAGTGTTTGTTTTGGGGGTGGATCGTATTGAGAAAACATGGTTGCCTTAAAGCTATTATCAGATGTGGAAAAAATGTGGTGTCATAGTTGTTTCACTGTGCATCAAAACATTCTATTAATTATGATGCGTTTTAATTCACACCAATAAAATGATGTTTCATAATTCATTTTGTTTAGGGTAGCTTCAGTCAAAGAGAAAAGTTGGAATGCATTGTTTGAGCAGTATTTTATTTATCCAGTCTTTATTAGTACTTGTCAATTTCTTTCCGCTCATAAAAGAATGTAATGGATAGAAAAGGCAGAAGGGGGAAAAGGGAAGAGAAATAAATTGAAAATGGTTATGAAGTTGACAAAGTAACATAGAATTTTTTAAAAAATGTATTCTCCTCTTTTAACTTGTGAAATATTATTATCTAATGTGTCATACTCTGCAGACTACTGCAGCTCTTACTTCAACATCGGTGTCTGCTGCATCTCAAGCTCCTGCTTCAACTGGAGCAACGTTAGTCCCGATATTTCATTTCTATCAATTTGTTTAAGTGAATTTTAATTAAAATATTTTGATGTTAAATGAAATATGTCTGCAACTTCATTCCATTTTGTCAGGCCTACACCTGTTACTGCACCAGCAGCTGCTCCTGCACCTGCACCAGCTCCTGCTCCTGCACCTGCACCAGCTCCTGCTCCTGCTCCTGCACCAGCTCCTGCTCCTATTTCTTCAGGCTCTTCTGTGTAATATTTCATTTTCTGTTTATCATTGGAATTCACCTTTTACTGTTTCTGTAATTTCCCCATTTTAATGATGGAACAATCTTTAAATTCCCATTGTCTCTTTTTAAATTTCTTGTTAAAAGAAACTTTGTTGAAGCAGGCCAGGATTTGATATATATGGACAGGCAGCATCCAATCTTGTTGCTGGAAGCAACTTGGAGGAAACAGTTCAGCAAATCCTTGATATGGGTGGAGGAAGCTGGGATAGGGATACTGTTCTACGTGCTCTTCGTGCTGCTTATAACAACCCTGAGAGAGCTGTTGAATATTTGTATTCCGTATGTGAATTTTAGAATAGAATTAATTTCTTTTACCCTAATGATAGTTGTCTACTTGATATTTTAGTGGTGTTATTTCTACAGTTTGGCTTTGCTTCCATTTTTATGGAAATTTTGCATTGGTTTAGCAGGTTGATTCTTGTGTTATGTTGTCTTGCACTCTATTTTATTAAAATTTTGCTTTGTTTATAAATGCTAGGGCATTCCAGAGGAAGCTGAAGCTCCACCTGCTACTCGAGTGCCTGCAAGTGCTCAACCTGCAAATCCTCCAGCTGCTGCTTCACAGGCAGCACAACCAGCATCTGTTCCTTCTAGTGGACCTAATGCTAATCCTCTAGATCTCTTCCCCCAGGTAGCTTCTGAAATATTTATCAAAGAAGAAAGATAGAGGAAAAATACATTTTGGTTTACTTAATAAGTAAACTGTGTGTCAGGGCCTTCCCAATGTTGGTTCTGGTGCTGCTGGTGCTGGCTCTTTAGACTTTCTGCGCAACAGTCAACAGGTATTTTCATTATTTTCCATTGCCCCATCGCTTAATCTTTTACTTGCAAGGCTTGTCTAAGCTGGATTTTTCAATGTGCTGTGTTTCAGTTCCAAGCCTTACGTGCTATGGTGCAGGCTAATCCACAAATATTGCAGGTTTTGTTGATTTCTTCTTTGCCTTTGTAGTGTAAGTGATATGAACCCAGAGGGATGGATTCGTTTTACGGATCTATCTAGGTTGGAAAGCTCATAATTAAGAAATTAAAAGAAAAAAATATGGATTGAGGTAAGAAATGGAAGAACAACGCCACAATCCCTAAAGATTGATAAGTTGAGGAAGATTCGCCACTTTGAATTAGGAAATTCAAGGATAAGAATCAAAAGTAGTTCCTAAGAACCTAGAGAGAGAAAATCCTCTCAATTGGAAAAATATCCAAATTCTGAATAATTCATTTTCTCCCCAAACTTTTACAAATGGTTCCTATTTATAAGCTTAGATGGGCAAGATGACATAAATTCCCACTAACACTTAATATTGACTCTTCACTAGCCCACTAACTAAGCAATAAATTCCCACTAGCATTTATTTCCCCTTAGCAACCTAAAAGGCAAGGCAACCTATCATATTTATTTAATAAAATAAAATAAAACGAAAATTACATTAAAAATAAGATAATGAACTTATTAATTATTCAGTCCCAAACTACTTAAATTCCTAGTCCATTATTGCTTCTTCTTGATTCACATCAGTAAGTTATTCACTTAATGTCAGTTCCTGAATTTTTCTTTTTTTTGCAGCCTATGCTACAAGAGCTTGGCAAACAAAATCCTCATCTCATGAGATTGATTCAAGAGCATCAAGTTGACTTCCTTCGCCTAATTAATGAACCTGTTGAAGGGGGCGAGGGGTGAGGATTAGTCTATGCTATTCTTTGCCTTTTATTTTTGTGCTGTTATTCTGTTTCCTATCAATTGGTGTCCTTTGACTTAATTTTCTGTTATTATGTTTTAGAAATATACTGGGACAGCTGGCTGGTGCCATGCCTCAAGCAGTGACTGTCACACCTGAGGAGCGGCAAGCAATTGAACGTGTAAGTTTATCCTCTCTATTCTTGTCCATGGAAACATTATTCTCATTTTACATTCCTGGCTGCCTTTTCTCTATGGGAGGATCCCTTTTTTACTTGTATTAATTAATTAATTATTTCGTCTGTATTTTTTATTTTCTCCTGCTATTTGAGGTCTATAATTCTATAATAGTATGTGATGTGAATATTGCCTGTGTTTGGAATAGGGGGGTTTGTCAGCTTAATTTTGTAAAATTGATTTTTGGTTAAAAAGTAGGTTTTAGTGAAGTGATTTATGTTTGGATACATTTATTTTAAAAATCGATTTTGACACAATGTTGTTTGAATAGTGTAAAACAACCAATTTTAGAGATAACTATTAGATTTAAAACAGATACAACTTATTTAATATTTGATCCTTGTTTTCTGCTTCAGCTGGAAGCAATGGGTTTCGATCGTGCAACTGTATTGGAGGTGTACTTTGCTTGTAACAAAAACGAGGAACTTGCTGCCAACTACCTTTTAGATCACATGCATGAGTTTGATGAATAATTAGATCTCCGTTACAATTTGTCTAAATATTTACCATGTTTCCTTTTGAACGGTCTTTGTTATGTAATGAGGTAATATTTGATAATGACTAGTCTTGAATGGATAAGGAATATTTTAATCGCCGCATTATTGCCCATGTATTCATCATTTTAGAAATTTTATAAATATTTATATACATAGCTGTTTGACTTGTATTGTTGTTTATGACTTTATGGTAGATCCTTTGACAAGTCTAATGATAAAAATTTTCAAGTTACTCGCAAGTTTTGCAAGTTTTCTAAGCACCCTATTGGTGAGGAGGTTTTCCTTGCCCTCAAGAACAGAATAGACAGCTTTGTTATTATGATATGGATCGTGGCAGTACGCGCGTTTGGTTTTTCACCTATCATAATCAGGAAACTATGTGCATGTATGAAAGATGATTTCCCATGATTTCATCTTTTTTCATTGAAAAAAGCTGTGTTTTTAAAAAAATCTTTATGATTGGGAAAATAGATTAAATTTATAAAGGTTTTTTTTTCCTAAAAAAAAGCTATTTCAAGAATCTGAAATTTTGAATTTGATGATTATTTTTCAAGATTTTTTTTAAAGCTGATTTATTACATAAAAATTAATTTTTTATATTTAAAAGAAATTAAACGTCAGAACTGTTTTTCTAGCCAATTTATTTTACAAAAAATTGAATATAATAATAATTGATTATACATATAATCAGTTATTGAAATAATATAATTTTTACAATTTTTTTTAAATACATAAGGGTGAATATTTTTCACCAATCAAAACTATCGAGTGTTTGGTGAGGTTTAAAGCTTAATTTTTGAAAGTTCTTCCAAGGAAGAGGATTAAAATGTTATTTAACAAGACTGAAGAAAACATGGCGCTTATTCATCCCCAGTTTTTGAAAAATTTTGGGCCGATGCCTATTTAATCATTTAAATTTGAAATAAAATTATTTTTAATCTTTTAAATTTAAAATGACTGTTTTGGAAAAATTTATTTTAATTCTTATATTTAAATTTTGTTAAAGAATATGTTAAATACCATCATATAAAATTTACCTTTTAATGTCTTTGTTAGTGAAAATTTTATAATAAACCTAATTGATGCCATATAACTGTCACACTATGTCACTTTAGATATGTTATTGATAACTTGAAGGATTAAAATATGATTTTTAAAAATTATAGGGACTAAAAAAATAATTTTAAATTTGAGGAACTAAAATATCATTTATCTCATTAAGCCTCTAGAAAAAATTTGTTCTTTTTTTAATTTATTTATGTAATGAGTAAAATTCATGTATATTTTTCAAGCGACGAAAAAAAATATTAATCCCTTCGATCGATAATGAGTGTCATTTTAGATTACTTTTTTTCTAATGTGATACTTATTATAGGACATAGAAAGTAGTATATATTATTTTGCAAGGTGGAGAGTTGTTGAGTTTTGATATTGATTAAGAATTTTGAAAATCGATTGTTTTCTAATAATGTCTTGTTTCAAATCACAACAACAATTTTTTTTTTCTTAAGATGCATTAGAGCTTTTGGTTTAATGGGATTGACTTTGAGAATAATTATATTAATGAAAAGATTAAGTTGTTGTTAGTCAATTAAAAACATATGTAAATTGGAATATGACTTTTAGTTTTATTTTTGATGTAAGGATTCTAAACAAATAACATAATATTAAATAGAGGTTTCAAAGAGAGGTTTATGTCTTATTCACATTGGGCATAGGATCGGTGGCACCAAATATGAGGAGAGGGACTCACCTCGAGTTAGAATCACGTTAGCTGTAGGTTAAATGGCGTCAAACGTGAGATGAAAGACTTGTCTTTGCTTGGGTTCATGCTGACCTTAGAGTGTGTGGAACCGAGTGTGAGTCAAGTAGAAAGCTCTTTGCCTAATTAGGACGAAGCATGAGAATGTGAGGCATTCTCTGCCTTAATCAAGTTGGGTGCGAGTAATACAATGTTGGACATGGGCAAGACAGAGAGCTCTCTATCTTAAAGTTGTTTTATAGTTGATTGATGGTGAATGAGTTGTATAACTGATGTTGTAAGATGATATATGTTAATATGTAGTAAGTTGAACATGTTGCAAAGTGAGTTGTTTAAATTGATGTAGTTGCTCTTGTTATAAAAATGTATAATGTTATGATGTGCAAGGTTAAAATGTAGGTTGAATGATGTTTAAGTTGTAACAATGTGCAATATTTAAGTTGTTCAAGCTGATAAGTTGTATGTTGAATATTGCTAAAGTTGTTAAGTTGCTAAGCTATAAATATGTGGGTTAGATACATGTCTTAGCTACAATACATAAAAACTAAAGGGGAGTAAAGTTGTTTTCAAAAGTTGAATATCTCATTGTGACAATATACATTTGAAACCCTTCGATAGGCAAGTTGGACTCTAGATGGGTGAGTTTTTTTTTAGTTGTCCCCTCTCGGTTTTATGTGGTATTCATGTTTGGGTAAGGTTAAGGCACACATGTATAAAGCGACAAAACTATGTAAACTACCAGGTTAAAAATTTAGTCTCTAATCTAGTATTGGAGGGTTATGGTATTTGAAGGATAGTTAGTGGGCTAATCTCATAAGTGGCTTAGTGTTGTAGGCTAATGTCGTGGTAAGCCCCATATCCAAATTGTTCTACCTTGACATAGTACTATACTTCTTAGTTTAAGTGGCAAAATGTAAGAAATTAATCTAACTTATGCTAGTCATTGTATCTAGCCTTGTGCTAGATGTTGTTTTCTAGCTTCAATGTTAGCCATTTTTTTCTAGTTTTATACTAGTCATTGTGATTTGGTAGGGTCTAACAACTTATACTACTCATCCCATTTAGGAAATCCTCATAGTTCATATGTGTGACGATGCATTCAATGTGATGTATATGTTGATATGTTGAACATGTGAGATGTTAAGTTGTTGTGCTAATGATGTTATACTGTTGTGAGTTGTAATATTTTCTATGATGATGTTGTTTATAAAATGCTTATGTTGAATTCTTTTCACAAGATTATCCTGTGTTTTCCTTATGGTTGGAAATGTGTTGATCATACTTAGTATGAGTTTAGGATAGGATTAGCGGGATGGTTTATGTGGTTGGAGGATAGTCACCCTAGAAGTGACTATATTTTTATTGATGACTACTTTGATGTAGTCATGTATTGTATAGATATTGGTCATCACTTAAGTTTATTTTACTCTTAGTACTGTATTTTGTATATAGTTTGTATGTACATGATATTAGTTACTGATTGTTAGGGATGAAAATAGGTCAGGTCAGATGGGCCTAATATTCATGATGGATGGAAATTAGGCGACCCATGTTTTTATTATATTCTTTTATTAAAAGCAGGTAGAATCTCCACTTGACTCTTGAGATACATATACTCTCTAACGGCTCATGGTTCCATCAAGGGGTCAGTCTTTGAAAGAGGGAGAGTTCAATTGGAAGAGCCTGTTCTTGATGTATACACATGTGTATGTTTTTGTGACACCAAGGAAAAGTTATAAAAGATGTTAGAAAGAGGTATGCAATTTACCTTAAAATTAAATAATATTAGGGTGTTCTAAATTCTGGTATTGATCCTAATAATGTTAAATGTTGTATCAGAGCATGTTATACTAGATTTAGAACCCTAACATTTATTACTTTTCTTATTTTGGATGAAATTAGATATATTATCAATTTTATAAATTCGTGAAATGCCTCAATGCTATAGTGCTATTGCTGTTCTGAAATCGTGAAATTGAGATATGTTAACAGGTGAGATTAATTCATGAAATGTCTCACTATAGTTGTCATTCCATAATCGTTGTATCGATTTGATTGTAATCATTTTATTTGATTAATTTATTTGATCAAATTATTTTCACTGTTGTTGTTTTTTTTTTCATTATCTCACTAAATTTTTGGATTGAAATCTATCAATTTGATGTGTTCCACTTTGATTGAAATCTACAAAAAAAATAAGTATATAAATTATTATTGGGATGTTGTGTCACTTAATTAATTTTTTTGTTTTAACTCACCCACAGGAGGTTAATTCTGATGGAGTTCTCCCTTCCATGGATGAAGAAGAAGCCAAAGGGAGAGTTCCTTGTTCAAGGATCACGACACACCAAGGAATAACTAGTCTTCAATGGAGGTGGGTGTTTAAGGTGGGTGAAGTGTTTGGGCAAATAAGGTGGATGCTCTCAATGGAAGTTGGCTCACTCCAAAGTGAAGATGGAGGCCACTCTAGGATTTCACTCTCCAAAGGTGGAGATAGGAGAAGGTTAGCCGAAATAACCTAGTGACTAAGGATAAGATGTGAGGCAAGAAAATGCTCACTCAAAATCAATATAGTCCAAAATATTTACAAGGTGCACAATTTAGGGTATTTATAGGGGAGGGAGCATTTAGGGTTGCATTTGGAAGTGTATGGCCGAAAATTGCAATCAAATGCACTCCAAATGAAACTCAAATTAACCGTAGATGCTACTTGGTGGCTAAGGATGGAATCTTTAGGTTTGGCTAAGCTACAACTAGGTGCATGATAAGATCATGCAACCTAGGTGCCCTCCACTTGGGCCTAAGCTTTTCCAAGTCCAAAAATAGATCAATGCTCACCAAAAAATACGTTTAGGCCCTAAATAAATACCCTAGTCCAAAAATAAAAATCCTATAATCTAAGGCACCCCATAATACAAGGGTAAAATGGGAAATACAAGTAAAAATAAATCCTATGACTAAGATACCCAAAAATACAAGGGTAAAATGGGAAATACAAGAAAATAAATCCTATGTCTAAGATACCCAAAAATACAAGGGTAAAAATGGGAAAATTAAAGACAAGGGCAAAATAGGCATAAAAGATAAATTCTATACTAACAAGGCTTAAGAGATTGATCAATATCCTTTAACCACAAGAACTCTGTCTCTAGGGGTGTTAGCTCCCCTATCCTCTTCCAATATCCTAGCCATGGACCTATTGATGGGTCCCACATGAAGCTCCAAGGATGGTCCTCCATCAAATTCATTAACTAATTTGATGAGACATGTTAATTTTGGCGTGAACACGCCAGTATAATCCTTCTGCCCACAGGTGTAGGATTTTTGCAACTGTTGTTTTATATAATATATTCTCCACCCACAAGGGAGTTTATATTATATGTATTATATCCCTTAAATGATGTTATTTTTTT